TGCTTAAGTTTCCAGAGGGATAAGAATGCATGATGAAGGCAGGTGTGGTGGCGCACGCCTTTAATCCCAGCACTCGGGAGGCAGAGGCAGGCGGATCTCTGTGAGTTTGAGGACAGCCTGGATCTCTGTGAGTTCGAGGCCAGCCTGGTCTACAGAGCGAGTGCTAGGACAGCCAGAGCTACAGAGAGTCCTGGGGTGGGGAAATTGCATGATGGCTGAGCTCAGAGCTGGGGTGCAGGCAGCAGGCATGGCAGCTGGGGCTGAAGACTGAGGGCTTATTGAACTGGAGGCTGACATAACAGACTCCGAAAGATTCAAGTCTTTGTTACTTTTTTAAATAAACTTTTTTGTTGTTTTGTTTTCTTTTTTTTTCTTTTTTTTTCTTTTTTTTTGGTTTTTCGAGACAGGGTTTCTCTGTGGCTTTGGAGGCTGCCCTGGAACGAGCTCTTGTAGACCAGGCTGGTCTCCAACTCACAGAGATCCGCCTGCCTCTGCCTCCTGAGATTAAAGGCACGTACGTAAAGGCGGGCACCACCACTGCCAGGCAACTTTTTATTTTTATTTTTATTTTATATGCGTGGGTGTTTTGCCTGCCTGTTTGTCTGTGCACCTTGTGTGTACCTGGTATGGAAGCTGAAAGGGTGCTGGATTCCTGGACTCAAACTCAGGTCCTCTGGAAAAGCAGCAAGTGCTTATAACCACAGAGTCATTTCTCCAACCTCTCCTTTCCCCTTACTTCTTGCTGCTTCGGCACAGATATTATGCGAGGCCAGGAGATTAGGAAAATGTGCGAAGAAGAGGCAGGAGATGAAGTTCAGTGGGTAGAGTGCTCCCCTGACACGTATAAGACCCCGGGTTCTATCCCCAGCACCACATAAACCAGGCATTGGCAGAGGCAGCAAAATCGGGGGGTTCAAGACCATCCTCCACTACACAGTGACTCAGAGGCCAGCATGGGCCGTATGAGACCCTGTCTCAAGGAGGGGGTGTGTGGGGTGAGCAGTGTTGAGCACCGGGAAAGAGGCTGGGAGCCAAGGAGGGCTACTGCAGCCTGAGACCACCTACATAGCTTTTAATCAAATGAAAATAAACTTTGATCCCGTGGGAAGCAGTGGGGATGGGGGTGGGTTCTGGGTCCCTCTCAGCTGAATATATGTAATAAGCATTCTTAGCCAGGAGTAAAAATTAAGCTGGGTTTCCATTTATATCCATGATCAGTTGACTGGCATGTCCCAAACCTCACTCAACACAGCAGCTTCCTGCTGCTGGTGTGTACCGTCAGGCTACCAATGGCTCCCATTTCTGGAATCTTCATTCTGTAGACTTCTTATGGCTTTAAACAAGGCAACATCTCTCTCTCTTTTCTTTTTTTTCTTTTGACACATTGTTCACTGGATTCTCAAAAAGAACGAACAACGCCATCTAGAGCTTGTAACCCTTTTGTTGTCTTTTCCTCGGGGGACTGGTTTAAAATTCAATCATGGGGTGGGGCTGAGAACTGGGTCTTGCATTCATTAGTTCCTACACTTTTAGAAGGAACAGTTTCTGAGGGGAGGCGGGAAATAAATACTGCTTGCTGGGTTTCCTTGCTGGTGGTGTAATTTTCATAGCGGCAAAATTACAGCCTAGACGTCCAAGTAGCAATTAAAATGTTGGGGACTAAAACAAACTTTGCTCTTCATTAAGCACTGGAAGAAGAGTAGAGACGGTGGGCAAACTTCCTAGGAGACCCAGCGCTTGCTCAATCTCATTTGCCTAGAGGGGGAAATCCTCACATTCTCCAGCCTTGAAATGGGAATAGAGCAGTCTCACACACAGTAAAGTCAATTCTGAAAGCCCCAAAGCAGGGAAGCAGATATGGAAGCATCCGGAAGCTCATGGGAAGGTAGATAGAAACTTTCTAAACACGCTGGACATGATGTTCAGCCCAACGACACCCAAGTTTAGAAGTTTAGTTAGGACGTTCCTAGAAGACAAACCCTATGTCCCCAGTAAATTCTTCTCATTTGCTTCCTTGTATTTTTTTATTTATTCATTTATTTATTTATTGGTTTTTCGAGACAGTGTTTCTCCGTATTGTTTTGGAGGCTGTCTTGGAACTCACTCTGTAGACCAGGCTGGTCTCGAACTCACAGAGATCCACCTGCCTCTGCTTCCCGAGTGCTGGGATTAAAGGCGTGTGCCACCAAGGCCCGGCTTGTTTTTATTTTTAAAGTATTTTTTTCTAGCTGAGCTGTGGCGGCACACATTTTTAACCCCAGCACTCGGGAGATAGAGGCAGTTGGACCTTTGTGAGTTGGAGTCCAGCCTGGTGTACAGAGAAAGTTCCAGGACAGTTAGAGAGGGCTGTTACACAGAGAAACCTTGTCTGGGGGTGGGAGGGTGGGGACAGGACACACAGACACACAGACACACAGACACACAGGACATGACAAGAAGACGACTCCAGGTCTTGCCAAACAGTCCTTATCAAATGCAAGCTCTCTAATTAGGCCCCTCTGGTTTACACAAGAGCATGCAGTATATGAGTCCCCTCAGCCTCCAGCAAGTCTCCTCAGAGTCGCTACTGCAGCTCAAGCCTTGAGGGCTGAAGACGATGAAAAGGAAGCCGTAGTGATTGCTGGCGCACCGGCTGTCTCCCAGAGCTGCTGTGACGATCTACTACAGACAGGTTGGCTCAGAACAACAGGATTTATCCTCACACTGTAGAAAACATAAGTCTGACTCGGACGGCGACTCTGGGGCCAGGGCTCGCCCAGGCGCTCCAGGCAAAAATTCTTCCGGAGTCCATCTGCTGGCTCCACACAGCCTTAGCCTGGGACCGTGACTCAGTGGCTTCTGCAGGCTCTACCGCTCCCTTCCTCTTACAGGTTTGGCTACCACTGGATTGACAGTCTGCCCCCACGAGTCCAGGCTCGCCTCATTCCAAGACTCCCCTAGTTTATAACCGGTGCTGCACCCCCTCTTTCAGCAGTGTCGGTTGGGGACCCAGACACGTCTTAGGAGAGACACTCTTCAGTCTGTGCTCTTCATGGTTCCCCAGGGCTGGAGCGGCAGAGGGTCCGAGTCCTTCAGCTCCTGCTGGGATTACTTATTCCACAGCTCCTGAGCCTGTAAAGGGGCCCGGGACCCACCTCCTGTTGATGGGTCCACAGCAACCCAGCTTGGGATCCCAATCTGCTGGTGGTGGTGGGATGTGCGTCCATGCATGTGTGGTGTGTGTGCTCACACTGTGTGTGTGTGTGTGTGTGTGTGTGTGTGTGTGCGCGCGCGCTCATCAGTACATCAGCATGGCAGTACCAAGGTCAGAGGTTACTGTTCGATGTCTTCCTTTAATGCCCTCCGTTTTATTGCTTCTCGACACAGGCCTCTCCCTTAGCCTGGAGTCCACTGTTTTGACTGAACTGGCTGGTGAGAGAGACTCTAGGGTTCACCTGAGCTCCAAGCCTCCAACCCAGGCCTACAGGTGCCCACTGTCATACTTAGTTTTCCTCCAAATTCAAGTCCTTGAACTTAAACAGAAAGCACTCTACCCACCAAACCATCTCCGTACCCCATCGTTTTTGAAACAGGGTCTCATATAGCCGAAGCTGGCCTCCAGTTCTGTGTGCAGCTCAGGCTATCCTTGAACATCTGATCCCCTTGCCTATACCCCCAATTATTGGAGTGACAGGGATGTACCACCACAACCAAGTGTGACCCCAGTTTTTATACAAGGAAGTACTTTGCATGGTGCCAGGCTGACAGCAGTCACACCAGCAGCATTACCTATTGTCACCCTCAACCCCATTCTCCTCTCTCCCTCCCTCCCTCCCTCCCTCCCTCCCTCCCTCCCTCCCTCCCTCCCTCCCTCCCTCTCTCCATTCTTCCAGTTAGGTTATTCAGATCTCACACCTTCAGCTGAGTAACAGGGAAGTAGCCTAAGGGAAGCCTTCCCTGAGGTACAGGGTTCCAGCTGGGTGCATGCCTGAAATTCTACTCCTTAGACCAGCAGGAGGATCCCCAGTCCTGGGCTACCTAACAAGGCATTGTCTCCAAAAATAAATTCATAATTAAAAACCAAAAAGACGCAAAGCTAAGGACTAAACACCACCATCCACAATTCCCCTCTCTGTTGGAAGTGACTGCTTCTCCCATTGTGGGTGGTATTCGGCTATGGAAAAAGCGACCACCTTTGGAAGGGATGAGTCCAGAGCACATTCTGTCCCTGTCTCTTTTTCTGCTCTATAAAATGAGGAGGAGGAGGGTTTGCTGCAGACATGACTGGGTAATGAGGAATGTTCACCGCTCTTCCCGGCTTTGGTGCTCAGGACCTACACAGTGGCTCCCAACCAACTGTAACTTCAGCTCCAGGGGATACAACCTCGTCTCCTTCTGTGGGCACCTGCACACTGGTGGTGCATGCACGCACACACGTGCACCCGCACACACACAAACACACACGTGTGGTGCATGCACGCACGCACGTGCATGCACACGCACACACATGCACCCCCACACACAAACACACACGTGTGCGCGCACACACGCACGCACCTTTAAAAAGCAAGACAAAACAAAACAACTGTTCCAGGTAGGACAGTCTCCAAAGCTACACAGAGAAACCCTGTCTCGAAAAAATCCAAAAAACAAAACAAAAACAGGGAAATAAGACAACTCTGAACTCTTTGCTCATTAATCATTAGTAGCTTTTTTAAGAATTTCATTTATTTTGTATATGAGCATACAAATGCCACAGCACACGTGGGGGGGACAGAGCATAAATTTTGGGAGTTGGTTCCATCCATCGACCATATGTGCCCCTGCCCTCGGGGTCAGTCAACAGGGAGCCTAGGGGAGGGAGTGAGAATGGGGGACAAGAGACACGAGAGACAGACAAGACAGGATTCTGATCAAGTCTCGTTTATTAGAAGTATCAACAGGGCTTAAGTAGGGCAGGTAGCAGAAGGGCGGGGGAGCAGAAGTTCTCCTTGGCAGGGTGTGTTCCAAGGACACAAGTCTGCAGCTGGGGGAGTCTAGGCTGCAGGCCTTGAAAATATGCTGTGCAGGAGAGAAAGCAAACACAGAGAAACAGAAACTTAACTGTCAGTCTCTAAGAATACAGTAGGAATATTAAGATGGCTTCTATTATGCTAACCTTATTTAGGGCCCTCTACAAATGTGGGTTCCTGTGCATCAACTCAAGTGTACAGTTGTGGTCAGGCGTGGCCAGTCTTGGCAGCCGACACCTTTATCCCCCGAGCCATCTCCCCAGGACCAGGGTTCAGCTCCTTTAAGTAGAGAAGGACTGAGGAAGAATTCTGTCCCAGAAGAGGCTGCAGTGTCACCTTCCAGGAAGCAGCCTGTATGGAGATTGAAGCCTCTTGGGATTTATCTGTTTCCCTCATCGTGAGTTTGAATGCCTCTGCCCGGGGGCATCTGTGCCGCAATAGGATACCCCCCACCTTCCAGCAGAGCACCCCGGTGCATCAGCCTGGTCGTTTCAGGTCTGGACTGTAACCGGGCCAGGTGGGCCATGTGGCAGCCGGCCAGGGACCTGTAAGTGACCTGAAGCCATGTCTCCTTCCCAACCTCCACTTCTCTTGTCAAATTTGGAAGTGGGGGTAAGAGCCCATCACCACCTGCAGATCCTAGAACTCCTTTGCCAGAGATTGTTCCAGAAGCAAGCATGTAACCTAGTTGTGACCACAAAAACGGAAGGGGAGCCTACTAAGAAACTTCAGGAGAGACGACATGGTTAAGAGCCCTCTTTGCGCTTGCAGAGGACACAGGCACAAATGCCAGCACCCTCACGGTGGTGTCTCACAGCCATTAATAACTCCAGTTCCAAGGAACCTCATGTCCTCTTTTACACTCTGAGAATATCAGGAATGTGTGTGACACACATCCGTGCATGCAAACCAAGCCTTCATACACATAAATACATCTTCAAAAATAAAAAAGACCCTTTTTGAAGGGTCCCCCACCTCCAGAAAAGATAGATTTCCTTCTACTGCTAGGCTGGGTCACCTGTCCCTGATACACCAATGGAAGAAATGGGTCTTGGTGAAAGGCAGAGAGATTTATTCAGTGCGATCCCATTGAAATGAAGGCATCCAGGGGCCCCACACCCATCCTCAGGGTACTGAATGACCTTTAGGCTTAAATGCAGAAGTGAAGAGCAGAGGATATGCTTAGTGAAGCCTTCCTGGGGTGACTGGTGTCCTTCAATCATTCTCAGTGCTGGTCCTGCGAGTGTCCCCAGCAGTCAGTGCCCCATCATGCACTTCTGTTCGGGGTGTGGCTTCACCCTCTGCTGTAATTATCCTCCTTGAGAGGGTGAACCGTCCTAGATTTTGCTCTTCCAGGAGTCTGAGGGGACCTCTGTGCCTTCAGTCAAAATAAAGATGTAAAATGAAGGCAGATATATCTGGCTTCCAGGGCTTGTGGGCCTGGGGAGTTGACAGTGCTTTTTCCCAAAGCGCTGCGGGCGGCCACGGAGTGTCTGCTTTGGGAGCCTGTGCCTGGCTGTGACAGCTTCCTGTGACTGTGAGGACTGGACAGGGTTGCTGAGGTGGGAAGGCTGGTTATCAGTGGTATTGGTGATCTTCTGATGCCACCTCTTGGTGACCTTCAGGTTCTTGTTAAGTGAAGTAAATAGTGGCATAGGGGTGCAAAATTTAGTCCACGTGTTGGTACTTGCATCTGAGAACAGGCCAATAGAGGGACAACCATGGTGCTACTCTGCCCCGATCCCCCAACAGGGAAGGAGATAGACCTGCCTTTGACTTTATTTATTTGTGCATGTGAGAGCACATCACGGGGGGTGTTCAAAGGCAACCTTAATTATCATTCTTAAGGTGCTGTCCTGTCCCACTCGGTAGCAGATTTATATTATTATCATTCTTAAGGTGCTGTCCTGTCCCACTCGGTAGCAGATTTATATATTATCATTCTTAAGGTGCTGTCCTGTCCCACTCGGTAGCAGATTTATATATTATTATCATTCTTAAGGTGCTGTCCTGTCCCACTCGGTAGCAGATTTATATATTTGTTTGAATGCGCGCACCATGATGAACTGGAACCCTCTGAAACCATGGGCCAATAGGAATTTCCCACCCCCTCCATCGATTCTTGTCAGTTGCTTTCATGACAGTGGTGAGAAAAGCAACTAATTTTTTAAAAATTTGTGTTTGCCGGGCGTTGGTGGCCCATGCCTTTAATCCCAGCACTCGGGAGGCAGAGACAGGCGGATCTCTGTGAGTTCGAGGCCAGCCTGGTCTACCGAGCGAGTTCCAGGACAGCCTCCAAAACAATAGAGAAACCCTGTCTCGAAAAACCAAAAAAAAATTGTGTTTACTTTTATTTGTGTGTCTGTACGTACACCACACGCATGCATGCAATACCAGAAGAGACCAGAAGGGGGAGATAGCAACAGGGGTGATGAGACCCAAATCCAATTTCTTGGAGCCATCTCTCCATCCCTGAAAACTGATTGTTTTAACCTTAGTTCTCTCCTTAAAGCTTCTGCCTCCATCTACAGTCATTTGGTGGATTTGGAGCAGACACGGCTCAGCTCCTAACAGTCACCAATTTCCACGGCAGGACATGGTTCTCTCCTCCCACTATGGCAGCCCAGGTCCAAGTTTGATAGCAAGCTTCTTTACTCTGAGCCAAGTCACTGGGTGACTGAATTTTCATAGTTCCTTCACTCAGCCTGTTGGTCTGAGAGAGCTGGGGGCAGGTGTGAGAGGCCAAGATTGAGCTCGGGAACAAATCTGCTGCAAAGGCTCTGGGGAGGTGGCCCTCGCAGGGATAGGACCCGGCTGCATCTGATGGGAAGCCGCCCCCCTCAGTGTTATCAGTGATCCTCGTGATTTAGATCCACATGTACTCCCTCCCATGTGCTCTCTTTTTCTGACAGTTGAGAAACTTTCCCGATTGGTCTAGTTTCTCCATTTTTGGAGCTTGAGCCAGAAAATCTGAAGTCAATCCAAGTTTTTTTTTACTTCATGGGGTGATTTTCACACACTACTGGATGAAATGGGGTCCACTTTATTAGGATTGTGTTAGGGAGTGTGTTCTGATCTCCAAAACCTGTGGATGAGCCTCTGGGTGGAAGGCAGGAGATTTGAATAGGAAAGGTTCCTGGAGGACTTTGTCCCCCATCCCCAAAGATATGCCTTTCAGATCTTCCGGGAGCCCCTCACCCCATTCCAGGGCCAATGGGAAGGTTTCCCTCAGTTGATGTACAATAAATATGACTATGGAAAAAAAAAAAAAGGCCAGCAGGCTGCCCTTCTGGGAGCCTGGCAGAATGAAAAATCTAGAATTGTAAATGTCAAACTCTAGGCCCCTCTGACAAGGACTGCTGAAACCTAGAAGCTGAAAACAACAACAAAACAGGAGCCGAAAAAGATTCCTCTGCCAGGCTAGCCCGGATGTCACAGGCTGGCCAACACCCTTGTCTGCAAAGTCAGGAGTCAGGCCATTTTCATGCCATGAACCCAGCAGTCCCTCCTTGCTAGACTTGAGCCTCTAATGCCTTTAGGTCCCCCCCCCCAAGTAAATCCTCCAATCTATAGGTGACACCCTGCAGCCACAGTATACATTATCTGTGGCTTTACCCTGGCGTCTTCTTGTAACTTTACTCAACAGTTTGGAAAAACAAACAATTCCATTCCGACCTTTCCGATTTCTTAGGCTTCTATGCCCCTCCCAGGCCTGTATTCCTCAGGACCCCGTTATTACAGAACTTGAGGTCACTAACTGGTGGCCCTAGGTTGGGCTCCTCTGTTTTTTTGTTTTTTGTTTTTTTCTGTTTCCCCACCTAAAAATGCTAACTTTGCTGATGACTGATGGCAATTATATACATGGCCTTTGTTTGGACTTATCTGATCTTCCTATCGAGGGTTTAATCTCAGTCTTCCTGGAAAGGCTCCGTTTGGCTGGGGGTGGGGGGGTGGGCAGCAGCTGCTGTTGAGCCCCTGCTGTGAGCTGTTTACCCCTGCGAGCCATGAAGTGGGATTGGAAGTTGCTGCATTTAAATTTCCATTAAAAAAAAAACATGCATTTATTTAGAGACTGTGTGGTGCACGCACTTGTGGAGGAGTTTAGAGAACAACTTTTGAAAGTGGTTCTCTCTTCCATTGTGAGGGGACTCCTGGAATTGAACTCAGGTCATCAGCTTTGGCAGCAAGCACCACTACCCACTGAGCCATCTGGTCAGCCCAAGTCACTTCGTGTTAAGAAAACACACACACACACACACACACACACACACACACACACACACACACACACACACACACACACCCTCCAGGGCAATATGGAAGTTTTAGGTCAGTGTTGGGAGTTCTAAATATCAGTATCTGCAGTCCCGTTAAAATATTTCATCGCTATGTGAGTGATCACTGTATAAAAATTTGGGAAGGAGGGCTGGAGAGATGACTCAGAGATTAAGAGCACTGTTTGCTCTTCTAGAGGTCCTGAGTTCAATTCCCAGCAACCACATGGTGGCTCACAACCATCTATAGTGGGATCTGATGCCTTCTGGCATGAAGGCATACATGCAGACAGAGCACGTTAAATAAATAATAAATAAATAAATAAATGTTTTTAAGAAATTTGGGAAGGAGACACAGAAGGAAGGAAATAAAAGCCCCTTCTTGGGCGGGAATCCATCAAGTGAGCAAGGTTCTGGGACCCATGGGGGAGGGGCAAGCCTTCCCGCCCTTTTCAGTGGCCAGCAATAACCACTGTAACCCTTGGGCCCCCACCCTTGTTTACAAACCGTAGCTGTATTCTCTGCGTTGCTGCGTCTGTGATCACAAGCCCTTTCAAATGTTACCTCAGAAAAATCCAAAATGCGTTTTTAAAGAAGGGGAGGGAGAGAGATGAAGAAAACTGACAAGACTCCATGCTTGCCCTACAGGCCTCTCCCCCTCCCTCCTCCCTACACCTGGAATAATGGGGAGGGGGGGAGGGGGACGGACTTTCAGCTCTAGGTGGAAATGTTGGAGGACTTATTCACTCTTGACTTCAGAATTGCACTCCCTTAA